TTCAATTCATGTATTACCTGCAGCCCTATTAGCGCCTACTTCAACTGTTGTTTCCCTTCGTTGGCAAGTTTATGTGTCTCGACTTTCGTCGGTTACCACTTCAGAGTCATTGGCAGCCTATGTTGCTAGCAAATCTTCTGTTAGCGTGTCAATAAGCAAATTTAGTTTGTCCACGCCTCGTAAAATCATCATTCAAAACAAATGTTTCACATGATATATCTCACAATCATTAGTGATCCAAAATTTTGTCCTTATCAAAAAAATCAGCCTGTTACCTTTCCAGTCCCTTCAATACAGGGTACCATTTCTGCGCCAAAAAACTAACTTCATCTTCTGAACATCTTTTTCATTATCAGATTGTCAGAGGTCTCATTTCAATGCTTAAAACTCTTTTCATGGCCAGCACTTCCTTCGACTCGAAATAATAGCACTTTCAGAAACATGGTTAAATTCAACCATATCTAATTTTGAGGTTTTTTTCGAATAATTTTATTTTGCATAGAAAAGATCGGCCGACTCGAGGTTGTGGGGTGTTAATTGGCGTAAAAGCCACTCTCCAGTCAGATTGTTTCTGTTTTAGTACGCCTACTGATGCTGAGATTGTCTCAGTTTAGGTGTCTTTTGCTTCGCGGAATATCTATACAACATGCACTTGACATATTTATGGTGTTGGGAGATTTTAATTTGCCAAACATCTCTGGTCATCATTCACTGTCGAAAATTATCTAGTGCCCTCAGCACAGCACGACTTCATAGGCTGCAAGCTTGATCTTTCATTGTTTCAAATCAATTCAATTTATATGCAGTTGAACACTTTACCTTGTATTTGTTAACGACTACCTTATTTCTAATGTGTCTAGGTCCCATCTTTACTCTCTTCCTGAGGATATATAGCATCCTACTTTTGAGATTGCAATGCTTAATTGTAATCCCCTCATTTCGTGCTCATCAGCCAATAAGCCCTGCCGTTGCTTTTGCAAAGGTAACTATTCTTTGCTGAATCAGCTTATTTATGCATTCAATTGGTCTTTCTTATATGACTCGGTTGATATGAATACTTCTATTATTATACCCTGAACCCAGTAAAAATGGGTATAAGGGTATATTAATGTTTGTGCAAAATCCAAATGTATGTAACAGGCAGAAGGAAACATCTCCGACCCCATAAAGTGTATATATTCTTGATCAGCATCAAAAGCCGAGTCGATTTCGCACAAATACAATATACCGTATACCCATTTTTAATGGGTTCAGGGTATAAAAATGTTGTAGGCAATAAACCGATTCGTTCGTAAGGTCCACCTTTTTGATAATTTTTATACCCTGAACCCATTAAAAATGGGTATAAGGGTATATTGTATTTGTGCAAAATCCAAGTGTATGTAACAGGCAGAAGCATCTCCGACCCCATAAAGTATAGATATTCTTGATCCGTCTGTCTGTCCTTCCGTCCGTCCGTCCGTACGTAGGAAAAAAGGATCTCAGAACATATAAGAGCTATAGACTTGAAAGTTTAGATGTAGGTGCTCCTAGTGCCTGTGCAGATCGAGTTTGTTTCCGATAATCGATAACTTTTCCAAGCAATCGATAAAAATCGATTTCGATACACTGTTATTTGCTCAATTTTGGTAAATAATAAGAGCTAGAGTCCCCGAACTTGACATATAGCTTCTAAGTAAAAATATATATATGCATTTGATGTTGGAAGAAGATCGTTCAGGGTATCCCCTAGTCGGGAGCTCCTAACTAGAACCTCTTACTTGCTTGGAATATTTCCGTCAAATTATGACAGATTTTGCAATTTTATACCATTTTTGACTCGTAAGGATCAGTTCTAACGATTGGCATCAAAAAAAGGAAATCCAAAATTTTGAGCCAAATCGACAAAATGACAATGGGTTACATCACGCTTTTTTTCAAAATAGTGGTCGGTGCAAAAATCGAAACTTTTTCGATGATTATACCCTGTACCCATTAAAAATGGGTATAATGGTATATTGTATTTGTGCAAAATCCAAATGTATGTAACAGGCAGAAGGAGGCATCTCCGACCCCATAAAGTATAAGTATTCTTGATCAGAATCAATAGCCGAGTCGATCTAGCCATTTCCGTCTGTCTGTCCGTCCGTCCGTCCGTCCGTATGTATGAACGCAAGGATCTCAGAACATATAAGAGCTATAGACTTGAAATTGTACATGTAGGTGCTCCTAGTGCCTGCGCAGATCGAGTTTGTTTCCGAAATTCGATAACTTACTCCGTTTTCCAAACAATCGATAAAAATCGATATCGATATCCTGTGTTTTGGGCAATTTTGATAAATAATAAGAGCTAGAGTCACGAAACATGATATGTTGCTTGTTGTTTCAAGTCACTATCTCTTATAGGTTTTGAGATCCTTGCGTTCATACATACTGACATACGGACAGACGGACGGACGGACAGACAGACATGGCTAGATCGACTCTTCTATTGGTGCTGATCAAGAATATATATACTTTATTGGGTCGGAGAAGCTTCCTCCTGCCTGTTACATACATTTGGATTTTACACAAATACAATATTCCCCTCTAACTATTTTTAATAGGTTCAGGGTATAAAAACAAAAGTCTCTGGATTGGAGTCCAAAACGACTGAAGCTTTCGCAATGCTCAAAAAATTAAGTTCTCAGTTGAGAGTGATTGGCTTGTTTTACTTGTGCTCCAAGAGTTTTATATATTTTTGCGCTTTAATACTGCTTTTCATTTGTAAATCTTGCATTTTTGGTGGTTTGGTTCCGTGTTGTTGTTCTTGACTGTTTTGATTCTTTTGCTTTGGTTTTCCCCTGTGCATACACTTGTTTGTGCGTGTGTTCGCTACTGCATATTTCCGCTTGTGCATCGTGCTCTCGAAAATTTTTGCTATTGCTTTTCGCTCCAAAAGTTTTGTTTGTGTACGCATGCAATAATTGCTGAGCGCATACTTGCTCTATTTTTATGTACCGTTTTCGTTTTGCTCTGCGTACTCGCAAATTGCATACGCTTGTAATAATTATGTCGTGCTGTAAGCAACCCCGCACGTTCAAGCAGGCTGATGATTCTGCACTGCCTCAATTTGTAAATTACTGACTGTGTGAAAATATGATGCATGCTAAGTGTGCAAGTCTCACTGGGCGTTTTTGCGACAATATCGCTGCAATTGCCAAGAAGGGCATCGACAAGCAAATTGATTTCACCAGAATGTATAATTCTGTGAGAAAACAATTCTTAAAATTGGATAATGCGGCTAAGCAGCTCTCTAGTAATTTTGACTCGAGTTTTGAGTTGCTTGGCAAATACAAATTTGAATCTCCAACCAATCGCCAGTTGGAGCCTCCACTTTTGCAATTGCCCTCTACGTCTGTTCAGACACCTACGACTTTCTTGTCCCTACCTAGCAACTTTGATTTATCTTTAATTTTGTCATTATCGCCTTCTCCGGGTAACTGCATAATTATTACCTCTGTTTCCGCCCCTGTAGTAGTCCCAGTAGAGCCCGTAGCTGTCCCAGTTATCCAAGCTACCTCAGCCTCGTCAGCTCCTGGCCGCAAGGGCAGACCTGTGCGTAATCTTGCCCAGATTGTTAAAAACAATCATGGTGCTTCTTTAGCTACTTCAATTCATGTATTACCTGCAGCCCTATTAGCGCCTACTTCAACTGTTGTTTCCCCTCGTTGGCAAGTTTATGTGTCTCGACTTTCGTCGGTTACCACTTCAGAGTCATTGGCAGCCTATGTTGCTAGCAAATCTTCTGTTAGCGTGTCAATAAGCAAATTTAGTTTGTCCACCCCTCGTAAAATCATCATTCAAAACAAATGTTTCACATGATATATCTCACAATCATTAGTGATCCAAAATTTTGTCCTTATCAAAAAAATCAGCCTGTTACCCTTCCAGTCCCTTCAATACAGGGTACCATTTCTGCGCCAAAAAACTAATTTCATCTTCTGAACAAATCTTTTTCATTATCAGATTGTCAGAGGTCTCATTTCAAAGCTTAAAACTCTTTTCATGGCCAGCACTTCCTTCGACTCGGAATAATAGCACTTTCAGAAACATGGTTAAATTCAACCATATCTAATTTTGAGGTTTTTTCGAATAATTTTATTTTGCATAGAAAAGATCGGCCGACTTGAGGGTGTGGGGTGTTAATTGGCGTTAAAGCCACTCTCCAGTCAGATTGTTTCTGTTTTAGTACGCTTACTGACGCTGAGATTGTCTCAGTTTAGGTGTCTTTTGCTTCGCGGAATATCTATACAACATGCACTTGACATATTTATGGTGTTGGGAGATTTTAATTTGCCAAACATCTCTGGTCATCATTCACTGTCGAAAATTATCTAGTGCCCTCAGCACAGCACGACTTTATAGACTGCAAGCTTGATCTTTCATTGTTTCAAATCAATTCAATTTATATTCAGTTGAATTGAACACTTTACCTTGTATTTGTTAACGACTATCTTATTTCTAATGTGTCTAGGTCCCATCTTTACTCTCTTCCTGAGGATGTATAGCATCCTACTTTTGAGATTACAATGCTTAATTGTTATCCCCTCATTTCGTGCTCATCAGCCAATAAGCCCTGCCGTTGCTTTTGCAAAGGAAACTATTCTTTGCTGAATCAGCTTATTTATGCATTCAATTGGTCTTTTTTATATGATAGAGCATCTACATGCTGCATTTTTTTCCCAACTCTGTTGACTAATTCGTAATCGTAGTTTTGTAACTCCAACGTGTAATGGTCGCAATTTTCCTATTTGAATTAAGCCGCGTAAGCGATCCTAACAGCTTGCGTTTGTGTAACGACGCTATAGCGATCAGCTTTTGTCTGTCACGGTCAGCTGTGAATGATTCTGCCGCTACTATAAACCGCCTGCGTGCACGTTGGCAGCGCAGCTATCTTCAATCTAATCCGCGAAAGAAAAAAAGCTCTGAGACCCTATATAAGCCTGTAGGTCCCGCATATAACCCTTCTTTCTTTCAAAAATTTCTTTACCATCGAAGGTCTGGCTACGGCGGTTCGGACATAGCCCCACCAAAAAAATTAAACTAAAAGCATCAGTCGTTTAATTCGTTGAATTTAAATTCCAACTAAGTTGAACCAAAAACAAAAAAAATAAAAAAATAAAAAGGAAAACCCTAAGAGTGGCCGATGGGCGAAATATCAATTTTTTTGTTCGTTTGATGATAAACCTTTCGCTACGCCAGCCGGCCACCAGCACCTCACCGGCATATATTTCTTTGTGCCAAGATCTGGTCACTGTTTTAACCAGTTCTTGTCTGCCTGCCGAAAGTAATTTTTGGAGGAATCAATCTTGCCGCCGCCGTCTCTGACATAAAAACCCACTTATTTTGAGGCAACCGCCACGTGTGGCCATTGGGCGGCACTGTAATTTCTTGGGACGGCAATGTCATTTCTGCCCCATTAAATAGACGTCAGCCTCAACTGCGGATCAGCTGCCATTCCCTTGCTCAGGCCAGCAAGAACGGGCAGGCGCCGTTTTCACAGTCTGGAATCCGGACGAGGGAGTAGCCTTTTGGGCCCCATTGACGCGCCGCTGATCAGAAGCCCAGATGGCATCGCCCATTAAGTTGGCCGAAGCGTGCAGATGCATGAAAATTGCTGTTAAATGTTTTTAGTAAAAAAATTGTTAATGAAATCTTATGAGAGAGAAAAGTTTGTGCACAGTGCATTGATTAGGGCCCGGGTGCAAGTGCAGGGGAAAAGAAAAATTTACATCTATATACATATCTTTATATATATAGAAAGGAATAATAGTATAAATCTATCCCCCTTCTTGTTGGGGTAGACTCCAAAGTCATTTATGAATTTTTTTTATATTTTTTTTTAATTTTTCCACTTAGTTTCGGAGAGCATCTTCTAAGTACTCACAATTTAAAAACCCTCCTGTGGCATAATAATATAATCAAAACAATTTAAAGCCCCACAGAAGACAAAAGAAAACAAATGAAAAAAAAAAAAATTTGCTGCAAACTCTCCGCTAGAAGGCCTTTCATCGAGGAATACATGTAAGTCTGTACCTTTTGTTTTGGGTATATTTTCTTATTTTGGCACAGATAAGCACAGCCAAGCTGACATGCGCACCTGCTGAGCTTTTTTTTCGACTTTCTGTTTCACATTACGCTTTCGCTCCGATCAATATGTTTATGACCGTGTCAGTCTGGTGAATGCTTATCATCTTTGATTCTACCTACACCCCACTCAATTATTAGCTGAAACAGAAGCAACCTAAAAGAAAATATTTTTAACAGAATCAAATATATGTACACAAAGATGTATCATCGTATTCACTGATCAGCTGGTTGCGCTGCGCTCCGATTTGCCCATGCGCTTCGAGCTTAACCTTCTGTTGCCCATATTTTTTTTCAACCATACAATTAACCAGCAACTACAATTATATTGGCTCTATTATAATAATTTTTTTTTTCTTTTGCTGAATACACTTCAGTTCAATTTACTAATCTCACTTTTTTTCTTGCCTAGCCTTATTCGATAATTATTAAAATGCACTTTAGCGAAAATTTGAGATTTTTTTTTTTTTTTTTTTTTTGCTCAATAAGAAAAAAAATATTAACTGAATAGTTTATAAAATGAATTATTTTTGAAGAATTTTTGAGCCATTGTAAAAATATTAGCTGACTAGTTTTAGTTACTGAATTATTGTTGAATCATTAATGCCACTTGTAATAAGATGCAGATTATCCAACGGAAGGATTCAATTTCATTGAATAATGCTTTTCTTTATAATAAATATTAATTACGGATTTTGATTATGAATTGCTAAGTTTTCTTTCCTGGTGACATGGTGATATAATGTCGTAGAAGATTGTTTTTTTTTGGGATCTTCAAAACCTTAAACGCTGAAGATCATGGTTGGGAGGGTATCGAACGCGAGAGTCAGCTTACATCCAAGACTTCGCCTCTTCGGAATATTTATGCCCTAATGAAAGCTATCACCATTGTATTGGCACTTTAAGTGCTCGTTAAGTTATGCCTGTTTGAGATTTTGTTTCTTTGGAGTATCGGTCTCCAATTTAGATTCTGTAGGGATCCTAAAATAAAATTGTGTATGCAGGTCGAGACATGGCAAAAAGAACCCCCCCACCCGAAAGAGCTAGGGAGCAAGAGGATCCCGCCCTGCCATGCTAACTCAACCACGAGGAGGCTCGGTGAATACTTCCCGAACAATTTTGTGAAGATTGGCTGTTAACCGCCGTCACCGTTACTACCCGATATGTATTGCTAGAGTAGCTTCACCACAGTACATGCTACATAAATTTTTGGCGCCCAATCATGGGGCCTGAGGTTGTCAATAAACAAAAAAAAAAAAAAGAAAAAAAAATGAGTCTTTATATTATTGTCCACGCACGCTGACGTCGATGTGACTGGTTTAGTCTATCTTCCGCATGCGCAGATACTGGTAGTATACAAGATAGTAATTAGGACTACGATGCTTACAATTCAGAGCTTGAATTATGCCGAGAATCTGACCTTACTATATTGTTGAGTGCCTATATATAAACACGACTATAGTTATTAACACCAGCTATACAATCGGTCCCATACATTTGCTCGTTTTCTTTCTTATAATTTTGAAGAAACAACAGATTAGGTTTGCTTAGGTAGAAATACTTTCATATGCAATTTTAGAATACTGCATATTTTGATAAGATATCAGTACTGATTGCTACTTGATAGCTTGTGGATGGTTAAGTAAATCTCAGTCTTCGTGGAGCCAAAAGTTATAAAGGCAGATTGAATGGTTTTGTATTAACGATACTATCAAAGATAGTTATAATGTTGCCCGGAACTTGGCCAAACCGCTTTCTAAAGTAGTTTCAATAAACCAGATAAATAACCTACTTTCATTATATTTCGTAATTAAAATTAAAAAAAAAAAAAAAAAAAAAAAAACTTCTACTCTATTATGTTACCAAACCAATGTCACGAATCAGGAAAAATTTAATTAATCATGTTGCCTTTACGCAGCCCACAAAATGTACAGCCGTCGTCAGAGAGAGCTGATAACCACTGTGTTCTATGCCAGTTAGTAATGGACAATACACAGTCTTGCTATTGCACCCCTTGTAGGCATGTTTTTCACAAACTTTGCTTGGAAGGTTGGTTGGTAAACCATGCTAAATGTCCCAGTTGTAGTGCTGTGATTGACCCAGCCTCAATTAAATTAGTTGGAGATTGCTCGCCGAGAGGAAAACAATCTGCTCCACCTCCACCTACGAACATAGGGAGAACGGTAACGCGCAGTCTAGCAAAATCTCTTAATCCTGGTCCGACCCAGAGTGGCGAGAATCCAACAGCAAGGTTATTAGATGTTAGTGATGTGCCACAATCAGGACTCGACGCTAGCAATAGCACGAATCCAGCTCCTGGTGTAAGAAGAAGAGGAAGACCCACTCAGTCTAATAATACCCGCCAAAATCTGGGAGTGGACTATAGGATAATTCAGGAGATGATCGAACAATCAATCACTCGCGTTATGTCATCACTGCAAATGCAAGCAACACCCTTTCCAAGAGTGTTGCCAACCCCGATCCCGGTGTCGCCTAGTAGTTCGTCATTCCGAAATGGAAAAATTGCTGACACCATGCAAAAATGGAATCTTAATTTCGATGGGTCTACCGAAGGATTAGGGGTAGAAGAATTTCTATATAGAGTCAAAACATTGACTGATGAAACTTTAGACAGCGACTTTATGGGTCTCTTACATGTGCTATTTTTAGGCAAAGCCCGTGACTGGTACTGGCGGTACCACAAGCAGGTAGACCACATAGTCTGGACTGAATTTTGTACTGCACTTCGCCATCAGTACAAAGATTATCGCTCCGATTTTATGAGCAAGGAACTAGTAAGAGCTAAAAAGCAAAACCCTGGGGAATCATTTGTGTCGTTCCATGACGCTGTACCATCACTGATCGATAAATTTGCAATTAAAATTGACGAGGAGGAGTTAATCGAAATTTTAAAAAATAATTTATTACCCGAAACCCGACATAAACTGCTATACCAGCTAATAAGTTCAGTTGGCCATCTACGTAGATTGGTCCAAATGAACGAGAATTTAGTTAATGAGCTCAGTTGTCGCACTGATGGTATGAATAAATCCAGGACTATTGGCCGTCGCCAAGTATATGGACTAGAAGAGTCTTTTATTGAACCGGAGGTAGAAAATTCAGAAGATACAAACTTTGACATCGCAGCAATTCGTAGATGTCATGCCAACTTTAAATGTTGGAACTGCGAAGAGCAAGGGCATCTGTGGGAAAATTGCCTTGCTGACCGCCGTATTTTCTGTTACGGATGCGGGGCACCCAACATTTATAAGCCCCAGTGCCAAAGCTTCGGAAAACCAACAGAAGGGTGCATCCAGCAGCAGTCGGATGCCCCCAAAAATCTAATTAATTCCCATACGAACTGTGTACCTGTGGACCGAAGCAAAAGCTTGGTCTCTACACCGACTTTAAAGTCACATTCCAACAATTTAGAAATAGCCAAAACTATTAAATTACGATTTTTACCGTATCATGAACGGTTAGCTAATTATTTGCATGTCCGAAATAAGATTTTTTATGAAGAAAAACCCCGTATTTCTCAGCGAACGCAGCGCTTGAAAAATTATTATTCAAAAATCAAGCAACATAGCAAGCTTTTAGTTTCGACAGTTTTTTGCAATCCCACCAATATGCGCAGCTATGCCGAAGTGTCATTTTTAACCTTTACCGAGCTTGGTCTATTGGATACAGGCGCGAATATTAGCTGCATAGGTTCTACGCTTGCGCAACAAGATTTTACCGCAATGCCGGAATTTAAGCCTATTAAATTGCATGTCAGAACAGCAGATGGCCATAGTCAGAAAGTCATCGGAGTGCTTGAAGTTAAAATGCAGTATAAATCGGCTACCAAGTCCTTGAAACTGTATGTGATTCCTTCTATAAACCAAAATCTAATTTTAGGTCATGATTTTCGGAGAGCCTTTGAGCTTGCGCCAAGCATTATAAATTCTGTAGAACTAAAATCAATGGAAAAAGAGCAGGAAACAGAGTCGATTGCATACCCCTTACATAGCCAGCAAACGCAACAGCTGCACGTAGTAAAGCAGTTGTTCCCCAACGCTGCTGATAGATTAGGCCGCACAACATTGATCCAACACCGTATAGATATAGGAGACGCACGTCCAGTGAAACAAAGATTCTATCCTGTAAGTCCCGCCGTAGAAAAGTTGTTATATGCAGAAATTGATCGCATGTTGCAGCTTGGAGTTATTGACCCGTCTGTAAGCGCTTGGAGCTCGCCTATGCGATTCGTCCTTAAGCCCAATGTATGAACGCAAGGATCTCAGAACATATAAGAGCTATAGACTTGAAATTTTACATGTAGGTGCTCCTAGTGCCTGCGCAGATCGAGTTTGTTTCCGAAATTCGATAACACACTCCGTTTTCCAAACAATCGATAAAAATCGATATCGATATCCTGTGTTTTGGGCAATTTTGGTAAATAATAAGAGCTAGAGTCACGAAACATGATATGTTGCTTGTTGTTTCAAGTCACTAGCTCTTCTAGGTTTTGAGATCCTTGCGTTCATACATACTGACATACGGACAGACGGACGGACGGACAGACAGACATGGCTAGATCGACTCGGCTATTGGTGCTGATCAAGAATATATATACTTTATTGGGTCGGAGAAGCTTCCTCCTGCCTGTTACATACATTTGGATTTTGCATAAATACAATATTCCCCTCTAACTATTTTTAATGGGTTCAGGGTATAAAAACAAAAGTCTCTGGATTGGAGTCCAAAACGACTGAAGCTTTCGCAATGCTCAAAAAATTAAGTTCTCAGTTGAGAGTGATTGGCTTGTTTTACTTGTGCTCCAAGAGTTTTATATATTTTTGCGCTTTAATACTGCTTTTCATTTTTAAATTTTGCATTTTTGGTGGTTTGGTTCCGTGTTGTTGTTCTTGCCTGTTTTGATTCTTTTGCTTTGGTTTTCCCCTGTGCATACACTTGTTTGTGCGTGTGTTCGCTACTGCATATTTCCGCTTGTGCATCGTGCTCTCGAAAATTTTTGCTATTGCTTTTCGCTCCAAAAGTTTTGTTTGTGTACGCATGCAATAATTGCTGAGCGCATACTTGCTCTATTTTTATGTACCGTTTTCGTTTTGCTCTGCGTACTCGCAAATTGCATACGCTTGTAATAATTATGTCGTGCTGTAAGCAACCCCGCACGTTCAAGCAGGCTGATGATTCTGCACTGCCTCAATTTGTAAATTACTGACTGTGTGAAAATATGATGCATGCTAAGTGTGCAAGTCTCACTGGGCGTTTTTGCGACAATATCGCTGCAATTGCCAAGAAGGGCATCGACAAGCAAATTGATTTCTGCAGAATGTATAATTCTGTGAGAAAACAATTCTTAAAATTGGATAATGCGGCTAAGCAGCTCTCTAGTAATTTTGACTCGAGTTTTGAGTTGCTTGGCAAATACAAATTTGAATCTCCAAGCAATCGCCAGTTGGAGCCTCCACTTTTGCAATTGCCCTCTACGTCTGTTCAGACACCTACGACTTTCTTGTCCCTACCTAGCAACTTTGATTTATCTTTAATTTTGTCATTATCGCCTTCTCCGGGTAACTGCATAATTATTACCTCTGTTTCCGCCCCTGTAGTAGTCCCAGTAGAGCCCGTAGCTGTCCCAGTTATCCAAGCTACCTCAGCCTCGTCAGCTCCTGGCCGCAAGGGGAGACCTGTGCGTAATCTTGCCCAGATTGTTAAAAACAATCATGGTGTTTCTTTAGCTACTTCAATTCATGTATTACCTGCAGCCCTATTAGCGCCTACTTCAACTGTTGTTTCCCCTCGTTGGCAAGTTTATGTGTCTCGACTTTCGTCGGTTACCACTTCAGAGTCATTGGCAGCCTATGTTGCTAGCAAATCTTCTGTTAGCGTGTCAATAAGCAAATTTAGTTTGTCCACCCCTCGTAAAATCATCATTCAAAACAAATGTTTCACATGATATATCTCACAATCATTAGTGATCCAAAATTTTGTCCTTATCAAAAAAATCAGCCTGTTACCCTTCCAGTCCCTTCAATACACGGTACCATTTCTGCGCCAAAAAACTAACTTCATCTTCTGAACAAATCTTTTTCATTATCAGATTGTCAGAGGTCTCATTTCAAAGCTTAAAACTCTTTTCATGGCCAGCACTTCCTTCGACTCGGAATAATAGCACTTTCAGAAACATGGTTAAATTCAACCATATCTAATTTTGAGGTTTTTTCGAATAATTTTATTTTGCATAGAAAAGATCGGCCGACTTGAGGGTGTGGGGTGTTAATTGGCGTTAAAGCCACTCTCCAGTCAGATTGTTTCTGTTTTAGTACGCTTACTGACGCTGAGATTGTCTCAGTTTAGGTGTCTTTTGCTTCGCGGAATATCTATACAACATGCACTTGACATATTTATGGTGTTGGGAGATTTTAATTTGCCAAACATCTCTGGTCATCATTCACTGTCGAAAATTATCTAGTGCCCTCAGCACAGCACGACTTTATAGACTGCAAGCTTGATCTTTCATTGTTTCAAATCAATTCAATTTATATTCAGTTGAAATGAACACTTTACCTTGTATTTGTTAACGACTATCTTATTTCAAATGTGTCTAGGTCCCATCTTTACTCTCTTCCTGAGGATGTATAGCATCCTACTTTTGAGATTACAATGCTTAATTGTTATCCCCTCATTTCGTGCTCATCAGCCAATAAGCCCTGCCGTTGCTTTTGCAAAGGAAACTATTCTTTGCTGAATCAGCTTATTTATGCATTCAATTGGTCTTTTTTATATGATAGAGCATCTACATGCTGCATTTTTTTCCCAACTCTGTTGACTAATTCGTAATCGTAGTTTTGTAACTCCAACGTGTAATGGTCGCAATTTTCCTATTTGAATTAAACCGCGTAAGCGATCCTAACAGCTTGCGTTTGTGTAACGACGCTATAGCGATCAGCTTTTGTCTGTCACGGTCAGCTGCGAATGATTCTGCCGCTACTATAAACCGCCTGCGTGCACGTTGGCAGCGCAGCTATCTTCAATCTAATCCGCGAAAGAAAAAAAGCTCTGAGACCCTATATAAGCCTGTAGGTCCCGCATATAACCCTTCTTTCTTTCAAAAATTTCTTTACCATCGAAGGTCTGGCTACGGCGGTTCGGACATAGCCCCACCAAAAAAATTAAACTAAAAGCATCAGTCGTTTAATTCGTTGAATTTAAATTCCAACTAAGTTGAACCAAAAACAAAAAAAATAAAAAAATAAAAAGGAAAACCCTAAGAGTGGCCGATGGGCGAAATATCAATTTTTTTGTTCGTTTGATGATAAACCTTTCGCTACGCCAGCCGGCCACCAGCACCTCACCGGCATATATTTCTTTGTGCCAAGATCTGGTCACTGTTTTAACCAGTTCTTGTCTGCCTGCCGAAAGTAATTTTTGGAGGAATCAATCTTGCCGCCGCCGTCTCTGACATAAAAACCCACTTATTTTGAGGCAAGCAAGAACGGGCAGGCGCCGTTTTCACAGTCTGGAATCCGGAATCCGCTGATCAGAAGCCCAGATGGCATCGCCCATTAAGTTGGCCGAAGCGTGCAGATGCATGAAAATTGCTGTTAAATGTTTTTAGTAAAAAAATTGTTAATGAAATCTTATGAGAGAGAAAAGTTTGTGCACAGTGCATTGATTAGGGCCCGGGTGCAAGTGCAGGGGAAAAGAAAAATTTACATCTATATACATATCTTTATATATATAGAAAGGAATAATAGTATAAATCTATCCCCCTTCTTGTTGGGGTAGACACCAAAGTCATTTATGAATTTTTTTTATATTTTTTTTTAATTTTTCCACTTAGTTTCGGAGAGCATCTTCTAAGTACTCACAATTTAAAAACCCTCCTGTGGCATAATAATATAATCAAAACAATTTAAAGCCCCACAGAAGACAAAAGAAAACAAATGAAAAAAAAAAAAAAAAATTTGCTGCAAACTCTCCGCTAGAAGGCCTTTCATCGAGGAATACATGTAAGTCTGTACCTTTTGTCTTGAGTATATTTTCTTATTTTGGCACAGATAAGCACAGCCAAGCTGACATGCGCACCTGCTGAGCTTTTTTTCGACTTTCTGTTTCACATTACGCTTTAGCTCCGATCAATATGTTTATGACCGTGTCAGTCTGGTGAATGCTTATCATCTTTGATTCTACCTACACCCCACTCAATTATTAGCTGAAACAGAAGCAACCTAAAAGAAAATATTTTTAACAGAATCAAATATATGTACACAAAGATGTATCATCGTATTCACTGATCAGCTGGTTGCGCTGCGCTCCGATTTGCCCATGCGCTTCGAGCTTAACCTTCTGTTGCCCATATTTTTTTTCAACCATACAATTAACCAGCAACTACAATTATATTGACTCTATTATAATAATTTTTTTTTTCTTTTGCTGAATACACTTCAGTTCAATTTACTAATCTCACTTTTTTTCTTGCCTAGCCTTATTCGATAATTATTAAAATGCACTTTAGCGAAAATTTGAGATTTTTTTTTTTTTTTTTTTTTTTGCTCAATAAGAAAAAAAATATTAACTGAATAGTTTATAAAATGAATTATTTTTGAAGAATTTTTGAGCCATTGTAAAAATATTAGCTGACTAGTTTTAGTTACTGAATTATTGTTGAATCATTAATGCCCCTTGTAATAAGATGCAGATTATCCAACGGAAGGATTCAATTTCATTGAATAATGCTTTTCTTTATAATAAATATTAATTACGGATTTTGATTATGAATTGCTAAGTTTTCTTTCCTGGTGACATGGTGATATAATGTCGTAGAAGATTGTTTTTTTTGGGATCTTCAAAACCTTAAACGCTGAAGATCATGGTTGGGAGGGTATCGAACGCGAGAGTCAGCTTACATCCAAGACTTCGCCTCTTCGGAATATCTATGCCCTAATGAAAGCTATCACCATTGTATTGGCACTTTAAGTGCTCGTTAAGTTATGCCTGTTTGAGATTTTGTTTCTTTGGAGTATCGGTCTCCAATTTAGATTCTGTAGGGATCCTAAAATAAAATTGTGTATGCAGGTCGAGACATGGCAAAAAGAACCCCCCCACCCGAAAGAGCTAGGGAGCAAGAGGATCCCGCCCTGCCATGCTAACTCAACCACGAGGAGGCTCGGTGAATACTTCCCGAACAATTTTGTGAAGATTGGCTGTTAACCGCCGTCACCGTTGCTACCCGATATGTATTGCTAGAGTAGCTTCACCACAGTACATGCTACATAAATTTTTGGCGCCCAATCATGGGGCCTGGGGTTGTCAATAAACAAAAAAAAAAAAGAAATAAAAATAAGTCTTTATATTATTGTCCACGCACGCTGACGTCGATGTGACTGGTTTAGTCTATCTTCCGCATGCGCAGATACTGGTAGTATACAAGATAGTAATTAGGACTACGATGCTTACAATTCAGAGCTAGAATTATGCCGAGAATCTGACCTTACTATATTGTTGAGTGCCTATATATAAACACGACTATAGTTATTAACACCAGCTATACAATCGGTCCCATACATTTGCTCGTTTTCTTTCTTATAATTTTGGAGAAACAACAGATTAGGTTTGCTTAAGTAGAAATACTTTCATATGCAATTTTAGAATACTGCATATTTTGATAAGATATCAGTACTGATTGCTACTTGATAGCTTGTGGATGGTTAAGTAAATCTCAGTCTTCGTGGAGCCAAAAGTTATAAAGGCAGATTGAATGGTTTTGTATTAACGATACTATCAAAGATAGTTATAATGTTGCCCGGAACTTGGCCAAACCGCTTTCTAAAGTAGTTTCAATAAACCAGATAAATTACCTACTTTCATTAAGGCGATTATATTTCGTAATTAAAATTAAAAAAAAAAAAAAAAAAAAAAAAAACTTCTACTCTATTATGTTACCAAACCAATGTCACGAATCAGGAAAAATTTAATTAATCATGTTGCCTTTACGCAGCCCACAAAATGTACAGCCGTCGTCAGAGAGAGCTGATAACCACTGTGTTCTATGCCAGTTAGTAATGGACAATACACAGTCTTGCTATTGCACCCCTTGTAGGCATGTTTTTCACAAACTTTGCTTGGAAGGTTGGTTGGTAAACCATGCTAAATGTCCCAGTTGTAGTGCTGTGATTGACCCAGCCTCAATTAAATTAGTTGGAGATTGCTCGCCGAGAGGAAAACAATCTGCTCCACCTCCACGTAACGGTAACGCGCAGTCTAGCAAAATCTCTTAATCCTGGTCCGAGCCAGAGTGGCGAGAATCCAACAGCAAGGTTATTAGATGTTAGTGATGTGCCACAATCAGGACTCGACGCTAGCAATAGCACGAATCCAGCTCCTGGTGTAAGAAGAAGAGGAAGACCCACTCAGTCCAATAATACCCGCCAAAATCTGGGAGTGGACTATAGGATAATTCAGGAGATGATCGAACAATCAATCACTCGCGTTATGTCATCACTGCAAATGCAAGCAACACCCTTTCCAAGAGTGTTGCCAACCCCGATCCCGGTGTCGCCTAGTAGTTCGTCATTCCGAAATGGAAAAATTGCTGACACCATGCAAAAATGGAATCTTAATTTCGATGGGTCTACCGAAGGATTAGGGGTAGAAGAATTTCTATATAGAGTCAAAACATTGACTGATGAAACTTTAGACAGCGACTTTATGGGTCTCTGTAAGCACTTACATGTGCTATTTTTAGGCAAAGCCCGTGACTGGTACTGGCGGTACCACAAGCAGGTAGACCACATAGTCTGGACTGAATTTTGTACTGCACTTCGCCATCAGTACAAAGATTATCGCTCCGATTTTATGAGCAAGGAACTAGTAAGAGCTAAAAAGCAAAACCCTGGGGAATCATTTGTGTCGTTCCATGACGCTGTACCATCACTGATCGATAAATTTGCAATTAAAATTGACGAGGAGGAGTTAATCGAAATTTTAAAAAATAATTTATTACCCGAAACCCGACATAAACTGCTATACCAGCTAATAAGTTCAGTTGGCCATCTACGTAGATTGGTCCAAATGAACGAGAATTTAGTTAATGAGCTCAGTTGTCGCACTGATGGTATGAATAAATCCAGGACTATTGGCCGTCGCCAAGTATATGGACTAGAAGAGTCTTTTATTGAACCGGAGGTAGAAAATTCAGAAGATACAAACTTTGACATCGCAGCAATTCGTAGATGTCATGCCAACTTTAAATGTTGGAACTGCGAAGAGCAAGGGCATCTGTGGGAAAATTGCCTTGCTGACCGCCGTATTTTCTGTTACGGATGCGGGGCACCCAACATTTATAAGCCCCAGTGCCAAAGCTTCGGAAAACCAACAGAAGGGTGCATCCAGCAGCAGTCGGATGCCCCCAAAAATCTAATTAATTCCCATACGAACTGTGTACCTGTGGACCGAAGCAAAAGCTTGGTCTCTACACCGACTTTAAAGTCACATTCCAACAATTTAGAAATAGCCAAAACTATTAAATTACGATTTTTACCGTATCATGAACGGTTAGCTAATTATTTGCATGTCCGAAATAAGATTTTTTATGAAGAAAAACCCCGTATTTCTCAGCGAACGCAGCGCTTGAAAAATTATTATTCAAAAATCAAGCAACATAGCAAGCTTTTAGTTTCGACAGTTTTTTGCAATCCCACCAATATGCGCAGCTATGCCGAAGTGTCATTTTTAACCTTTACCGAGCTTGGTCTATTGGATACAGGCGCGAATATTAGCTGCATAGGTTCTACGCTTGCGCAACAAGATTTTACCGCAATGCCGGAATTTAAGCCTATTAAATTGCATGTCAGAACAGCAGATGGCCATAGTCAGAAAGTCATCGGAGTGCTTGAAGTTAAAATGCAGTATAAATCGGCTACCAAGTCCTTGAAACTGTATGTGATTCCTTCTATAAACCAAAATCTAATTTTAGGTCATGATTTTCGGAGAGCCTTTGAGCTTGCGCCAAGCATTATAAATTCTGTAGAACTAAAATCAATGGAAAAAGAGCAGGAAACAGAGTCGATTGCATACCCCTTACATAGCCAGCAAACGCAACAGCTGCACGTAGTAAAGCAGTTGTTCCCCAACGCTGCTGATAGATTAGGCCGCACAACATTGATCCAACACCGTATAGATATAGGAGACGCACGTCCAGTGAAACAAAGATTCTATCCTGTAAGTCCCGCCGTAGAAAAGTTGTTATATGCAGAAATTGATCGCATGTTGCAGCTTGGAGTTATTGACCCGTCTGTAAGCGCTTGGAGCTCGCTTATGCGATTCGTCCTTAAGCCCAACAAAGTGCGCCTTTGTCTGGATGCTCGAAGACTGAATGACGCCACAAAAAAAGATGCTTATCCTTTGCCGAGCATCGATGGCATTTTTTCGCGGCTACCTAAGGCGAATATAATTTCCAAACTAGATTTGAAAGACGCCTATTGACAAATATAACTTTCCGAGGATTCAAAGCCTCTCACTGCTTTTACGGTCCCCGGAAGACCGCTATATCAGTTTAAGGTCATGCCCTTTGGCCTTTGTAACGCGCCTTCTACCATGTGTCGGTTAATGGACGAGATAATTCCTTCTGACCTGCGTGTCAGAATGGCGTGTTTGGTTATATAGATGATCTGTGTATTGTGTCAGAAGATTTCAGTTCACATCTGGCGGTATTGGTTCGCATCGCTGAGCAGTTTAGAAAAGCCAACTTGACTTTAAATATTTCGAAAAGTCAATTCTGTGTAACAAGTATCAATTATCTTGGTTACGTGATTGGTAGCGGAGGTATTTGCACAGATCCGGAAAAAGTAGCTTGATTTGTAAATTGGCCGCCGCCAAAAAACTCGAAGCAAGTTCGAGGATTTCTAGGAGTTTGCGGTTGGTATCGTCGGTTTATATGCAACTTTTCCGATCTCACTTGCCCCATAACGGACATATTATCGACAAAGAAAAAGTTTGAGTGGAC